AACAAGTGTAGTTGCAACAAATTCAAAATCTGCAGAAGATGATTGGGAAAAGGTGGTAAAAAAGAAAGTAGATTTTGATAATACATATGAAGGTAATCAGGACAAAGAAATGAAACAGTTCAACATTAAAGAAGCAAAAGGTAAGCGGGCAGCTGCTCGTGAACTAGCGAATCAAAGAGCAGCTGAAAGAGAAGAAGAGGTAAAAAATATGAGGGAGAGACGACAGAAGGAGGAAGAATTTAATGACGAGATGGTCTGGAATATACAAACGCCCTTTTCTGTTACACAGAAAAGTAAAGACGAATCCAAAGTAAAAGATTCTAATGTAAATGGTACTAAGAACATTGAGGAAGAATCAAAGTGGGAGGAGGCAACGTGGGAGGAAGCAAAGTGGGAGGAAGCTGTTCAAAAGAAGGAAGAGCATGAAAAAGATGACAAACATGAAAAAACAGCTCAAATTGAGCAGGATGGTAAAGAGCATGGTGAAGGTACATTAACATGCCGTGCATCAACAAGCAGCTTTGAATCACATTCAGAAGCAGAAGAAAGAGATATGCGGAAATCTATAGATGATAAACGGAGAAAGGGAAATCGGCATGGGAAGAGAAAACGCTCCCATTTGTCAAACACGTCAGGGAGCGGTCCTGATTCTTCTGCAGAGGAAGGGGAAGTAAAAAGTGATAATGACTCTAAAAGCCGAAAAACAAGTAAAAAGAAAACTAAAAAATCAAAACACAATCGTGATCGAGATACACGTAATGTTGTAGTAAATGACCATCAACCCATATCAGACCTTCCAAAGATTCCAAAGTTGAAACATGATTCTCGAAGAGTTGAAGATCGTGAAAGATATGAGCGTGGAAGTGGCTACAATGACTTGCGACATGTGATACAAGTGAAGCGTAGCTATGAAAATCCCCGTTATGAAATGTACTGGGATGAATATAGTCGTAGGTGGGTTGAGTATCGACCAGATTGGACTGCTGCTTGGGAGCAGCATCGGACATATGAACAACAACTGTACGCTGCAGATTGGGGGCGCCAAAACAGTGGCAACTCTCATCGCTATTTAAAGGAACGTTCATGGGAAAATTTTACTGTTAAACGTGAACGTTCACCAATTTTTGACCGGAGGAAGAGTAGAGAACGCAGTACCCTGGATAAACGGGATATTGGATGGGAAGCAACTATTGAAAGGGATAGAAGGAATCGAGATACGCGAGATAAAGACAGAAAAGAAAGCAGACAAGATCGTAAACGAGATAGCCATACAACCACTAGGAGTAATTCATCAGGGACTGACTCACAACGTAGGGAAAGATCACAAGATAAAAGTAGAGATAAAGATCGCAAAGAAAAATCTAAAAATGACAATCAGAGTAATGAAAAGAATTTTGTGAGAAGTAGTCGTACAAATGGACGTGATAAACATGGTAGATTTAATGAAACCTCTGAAAAGCAGAAACCTGATAACCTTGGAAACAAATCCAAAGAGAGGAAATCAAGAGACTCTGTAAAATCTGAAAAGACTGCAACTGGTGGAAAAATTGTTGAAAAAAATGATAGATTAAAAAAAGGTGCTGAAAACAGGAAAACTGAGGAAAAGGGTAAGGAAAGAACAAAGGAGAACATAGACTTGATAGCGAAAAGTAATAAAATAGACTATCTAGAAAAAAAGAAAAAGAAAAAGGAAAAACCAGTGAAGGTCAAAGGCAAGAAAGAAAAAAAAGAAAAGGAGAAAAAGGTAAAGAAAAAGAAAGATGAACTCATTATATTGCCAGATGTTAAAGAAACATTAAGGATAGAAAAAGAGGAGGATCTTGAAAAGAAACTAATAATTGATAAACCTCGAACAAATGATACCTCAGAAAAGCATGAGGAAACTAGTATGAACGCTATAATTGATCCTCCTTGCAAACACACAGATGTGAAATCAGGACCAGCTGAAATTAAAGATGTTGTATCTTCATTGAAAAATATTGTTAAAAAATCAAATGACAAAACAAGTAATTCTCCAAGAATCTCTACACATACAACTGAATTAGAAAAAAGGACCAAAGAACCAATAATAGCGTTTCAACAAGCAGTTAAAGTTGATGAACCCTATGACCCATTTGAACCAACTGCATCACCATCAATATCTAACTCATCGCCATGTTCGCCATTCCAAGCCCTTTCTCCACCACCGAGTTCAAAAAGAAAATTAAGCTCTGACTTGGATTCTTTGAATAATTCTACAGATAGTGCATTTGGAGGTTTAAAACACCCAAAAATTGAAAATGTTAAGCCACTTCCAGATGTAAAGATTAGCAAACCCTTGACAAAACCTTTTAATGATATATTACCACAGCTTGCTACACAGGATGGATCCAAACTGAACCAGCTGATTGACAAGTTTGTAAATAAATCTGGGAAGGCAACATTAGACTCGAAAGAAACTGATGCTGAAAAGGCTTTGCCTGGATCCAGCAAATTTGCTACCAGTGCAAAGAAGTCCATCATATTTAATGCCCCCTCCCCAAATGAGTCGGACAGTGAGTTTGACTTTAATAACGATGATGAGGAAATTGAGTCGTCTGCAGTTGAACTTCAGAACAAGAATTCTAGGGAGAGGGTGAGTATAAGTGTTCAATTATACTACAGGTAATTGTATCCATTCTAATGATGTCAATCTAGAATTTATGTAATTCTCTGTGGCAGATGCAGGGGTGACAAAGGGCAGCCAAAATATCACTAAGTGATGTTAAATAACTAGTCATTTAGATATAATATTAAAATGGCTAACACTCCAAAGCTTCCTGGACAATGGAACACCCCAAACTTTTCCTTTTTGATCATAAGGTCCGCCCCTTAGGGCCTTAAGTCCTAAATTGCTACTCTGATGCATATAGTATTTCAATTCTGCATTTATACTTTGTCACTTTTCAGTTCACCTCCCTTTTGTGTAGACTGAAGGTGTTGAATGGCATTTTTAGGTCTTTGCCTCCTAGAACTTATTGATTGAATTTGCAATGTGATTTTTTTTATTTTTAAAGCAGTATTTGAAAAAACTGCATCATCAAGAACGTGTTGTTGAAGAGGTAAAGCTGGCAATCAAACCTTACTACCAGAGGAAAGAAATTGATAAACACGACTACAAAGAAATTCTAAAAAGATCAGTCAATCAGGTAATTATTTTTTTATATATCAAAATAAAATAACAATACTCAAATGGACTATTACCAACCTGAATTAAACAAACCATTACACATTAAATGTGTTGAGTAAATATAATTCCTATATGGTATGGTATTAAAAAGTAAGTAGCTAAAAGAAATAAAAAAAATAAGTACAGTAGAGTAATGGTTATGAAGTTGACATTAAAAGTAGTAATTGATAATGATTTTGGTGATTGATAAAGCTGATGATGAAGATGATAAGTGGTTCAAAGTGAAGCTCACAAACTAAGGGTAAAGATGGTGTTAAAGAAGATAATAGGTTGTCAATCAGTTTAACTCACCAACTACTATTTATAGTAATGGATACGATTTCAGCTTTTACAGTAGCTACTCATTTGGGCTGTATATTTGTGTTTATATGGTCAAAAGTTATCTTTGTTTTACAATGTTTTAAAGTAATCTGCCCAATTTTATAGACAAAATAAATATTAATGATACTTTAAAATTGTACAATGCCATTTTTTTTATAGGTTTGTCACAGTAAAAGTGGCGAGATTAATCCGGTGAAAATTCGTAAATTAATTGATGGATATGTTAAGAAGTTTCAACTAAAGAAGAAACATGTGGAAAAAGGAGGTAAAGAGAAGAAAAAGCCAAGTTCATTGACTGAACTGAAAAAAAAGCGGTGAAAAAATTAGGTTTGGTGAATTTTAATGTCACCATCTGTATACTGATAGACAGTGATGAAGTTGATGGAACTTTGATGGTCATCATGCTACTGAATTAAGAAATTGGTTTGGAGAACTTGAGTCTCGCTGTGCTAACTAGAAGTACAAACCAGAGGTTTTTGTATGTCATAAATTGTAAAGACAATTTTTTATTGGTTCCCTTACATTTCCATCTTGTAGCTGAAGAATTTGCTGGTCTGATACTGGTAGACAAACAAGTAGGTGTTCTAAGAACCCAAACTTGTCTTGCACATATGTGTAAATATAATATTAATAAGGAATATTTAAAAAAAAAAAATCATCTTCCCACATTAAGATGATTTTAATAATAATATGCGTGCTTCTCATGTAAAGCAATTATGGAATTAGAAATTGTTGAAAGTGTTATGATTATTATGACAATAATGTTCAAAACATGCCATAATCCCCAAGTTGAATGGAACAAAGTACAGTATGGTGTCTTATAGATTTACTGTATACCGTAAAACCTCGAATTGAAGCCCAGTGGCCTTAATCTCGAGATGAAGCCCATCTCAAATTGAAGCACACTCTTGTTTAGTTTGCAAAATTAGGCTCGAAAAGAAGCCCATGAGCTTCTTTTCAAGATAGTACAGTACATACATACACTGTACATGAATTTCAGAAAACAAAATAAATTAAATACAAGCTTGGTTTATACAGTAGTTTAGGTGATTTAATGCCAGTTAAATACACTCCATGATACAGATTGATGTAACAGAGGCCTTATTTATTTGTTTTATATTACAAATTCACAAAATTTA